CCCCCCTCTACGGTCTCAGCCACCCCTCCCGCCACGTTCTTTCGGCTATCTCAGTTTTCTTTCGTGTAGTTCTCTTCCCACCAACCTCAAAGAAGGAGGTTTGGGTCGCATCGGCGTTTGTCACTCGCCACCCACATTCCTTCTCAATCCCTCGGCTGCTCCGTTTCACAGCTTCTTGATATCCTGGCATCTTATTCTCTGCGGCTTGACTGGCTGTGACTTATTAACTGCAGTATTGCGTATTGCTAACAACACGTATTGTTACAGACATTTTATTCATCATTATCAAATAGATTTAACTAACTGCTCCGATTTCAATTAAGCTACTGCACCACCATTGCTAGCTGTGGAGGGCGCCCGGAGCAGCTAGTAAAGTGTGATAATTTAAATGCCTAAGTCGAGCACCACCAATAATATTTCAACTAGAAATAGGTACCTCGGAAAATTTGAACCATTCCGGGGGTAGTAAGTCAAAATTTGTTGATTTGCTATTCGGGGACAAAAGATTGCGGGTGGAAATCGATTTTTTCCCCCTTTAATTTTTTCGTATTCCCGAGAGGAGATGTAGGAATGAGGGAAGCATCCTATACAAGTAAGATGGAGATGTGTGTCTTCACTTGTTTTTTGCATCGTGAACTTGGCCTCAAGAACCACAAATCATGCTTTACCTACTTCTTCATTTTTGTTTATGACGATTTTTAAGATCGAGTCACAGTGACTACTTCTATTTCAAAATTTCCTCCACATATCTCCTTCTGCGCAATCTGCATCGTTTCATATTCCTATTACTTTAATTATTAACTTAAATAGCTCCTAATCCCATATCAATGCCCAAGAGCCAGATGGTGCCTCATTCCATTGCTCCATTGATTCTAGTATCGCAATTTTAGATACCCCGTATCTCATAACCGGCGTAAGACAAGGTTACCAAAGTTTCCACTCGCACAAAACCGTTAAGATGATTCGACGGTTGCCATTTTTTGTGTCAGAGCGACGTTATCGCATCAATTCGCTCCACAATCTCAGCTACTTGTAATTTTTTCGAATTTTGAGATCGCACTTCTGTTGTCATGAGACCAAAGAATTCATGTACCATTTGACAAAGAAGTTCAACGAAATAAAGGCAGGGTTTCTTTAGAGGAAAAATATCGCATTCGATATTGATATCGAAACTGCACTCGAATGCGATGTTTTTCCTCTGAAAAAACTCTGCCTTTAATACGTTTAATTTCTTTGTCTTTGGTACATGAATTCTTTAGTCTCGTGACAACAGAAGAGAGATCTCAAAATTCGGAAAAAATGACAAGTAGCTGAAATTATGGAACGAATTAATGCAATACATCGCACGTCGCTCTGACACAAAAAATGGCAACCGTCGAATCGCCTTAATGGAGATTTTCTAAACGCCACTAATTCGATTTTTCCAAAAATGTGAGCTAGGTACCTGGTACCTTTCGGCTCTGGGGTGCTGATCTAACTCACCGATTTATATTCTCCTATCCTGAAAATGCGATTCACTATTTTCACTTTTAATCATAGCTCCTATTCCTTCCTTACATTCCAATAATCATTTTCTTTTTGGTTTTATTTTTCAGATTTTCCAGCTTCTCATCTTGTTCGGTATGAACTTACGAGTCTTCGAAAGGTATGTAATCGTATTTTTTTGACATTACCGTATGTTTAGAAAATTTAGTTTCTTTTCCATATTGTTGGCATTCCAATGATGCGTAGACTCAACTTTTTTCTTCCACAACACACAGTCTTCGTCAGGAATATCGTAATTAACCTCATTCAAATTTGTTGTTTTAATTTTCCATTTTATTCGTCCGTTTTCCTCGTTTTCACAGTTTTTCCTGGCATTTTTTTCATTTTCCTTAATTTTATCAATTCTCCCTGCCTGATTTATAATGTGACATTTGCACAGAATCTAAATCCGTGTATTTACTGTCCGTTGACTCTCCTCTTCTCCGTCAATTCGTCGCTTGCCTGACACAAGGGCGTAACCGCACATTGAGATGAGCCCGGGAAAACGTTGAATTGTATGGAAAACAGGGTTCATTGCAGAGCGCAGTTACGCCCTTTTGTCAGGCAGACTACGAATTGGACCTGCCTCTCACGAAGGGGAAAAATCGCGGAAGTCTTTAAAAATTATTTCAAGTAGCATTTCACCTAAAAGATAAAGTATGACAGGAAATCTGCAACGTCGCAAACCGAGTCAAGAGGTTTGGGAGTATACTCCTCCGATTAAAATGTTTGTCCCTTGCCCCTTCATCGGCCTCTATTGTACCGGTGCGGAATGAAGCATGCAACTTATCGAGCTTCGGCGTGTGCTGTGGTATCACTAGACATTGAAGGCACTCTCGTATTCGTGTGAGCCTATCGTTGTCGCGTCGCGCTGAACGTATTACGGCCAATTTCCGCGAGTGGATTTGGTCGACGTTTTAACTTCCTGCTAACCTCCGTTACAACAAAACGATATTCCCTCCGGGAGACGCACAGTGCGACCCTCTGTGGGAAAAAATAAAAAAATTCACAACTCAACATCTGATTTTTTTTTTTTTTTTTGAGTTTGTTGTCTTGAAGATATTTCTGACTCACGATGATGGTTCATTTTCAAATTTTTCGCACAAAGCAACATCAAATTCTGGTAGAAAGTGGGCGAGAAATGGGTCGAGAATCACTAGTTCATAAGATTTACACGCGAAAAACACGTCAACTTCAAATGAAGATTTCTCGCTTGAAACGCAAAATGCTCGGATGGTTGACATTTTTTTAATCCTTAGATATCCAACTCCAATTCTACCGAGAAGATCTTGCGACTTTTTGCGACTATCAAAAATATTTGAAGTTTAAGTTTGGGTGTTTCACGTTCCTTTTACATTGTTAACATAGGGCTGATTCGGGGTTGCAAACTTCAAATGAACTGTTCTCCAAAAATACGCAAAAAATCCTGCGATATAACATTTTCTTATTTCTCAAGTGTTTAACTTTGATAGTGCCAAAGGAGTTTCCTATGTTGGTGTTACAATCTTCATTACTTTTAAGTTAAGTGTCTTTCAGGGCCGGATTCATGGGGAGGACATATGGGCCGTGGCCCATGGCGGCAAGTTAAGGGGGCGGCAGATTTTTCAATTTTTTTAAATGTAGGTATATAAAAAAATCAGACTCAGAAAAAAAATTACAAAGGAAAAAAGGCAAAACCTCTCATTTCCTGAGAGTAAAGTAATTTCTAATTTTGTCGCTTTTCGGTGATAAAAGAGACAGCACCTTTAATTGGTCGAGCTAAGAGAGAAATCAAACACGCAATTTAGCCTGAAACGGCGCGGCGCAGAGAGCAATGATGACGAGGACTTGAGATGAAAAAGGAAGAACACGACGGCATGTAACACATATTAGCGCCTACAAGACTGCATGAATACTTCACGCATTGCGCCAAACACCGTGCGGTCGGCGCGGCGCGGCGCCGGATGTTAAAATTATTAAACCACATTTATGTTTGTTCTTTCACAATTTTTTTCGTTCATTTCTTATGAATGGAAGGTCTTGTCCACACGGAGATAGGTTTACGGAGCTTAACTTTCACGCAAAGTTCCGTGAACTTTTGCTAGTAGTGTTGACGGGGCTTTCGCAAAAAATGTGTCCAACACGAGCAAACGCGTCTTACGCTCTCCTCCCTCTCCAGCACGTTCACTTGTTAGTTTTTATTGATGTTTCGAAACGATTGAGAAGGCAAAATACAGGTGTCCCATAGGTGGCAAGTAAGTAAATCCGGCCCTGGTGTCTTTTATCGATTTTTGTCCGCATCGTCCATAAAGATGCTGCACTGTGCGACGCGACGGTGCGCTTACACTGTTAGATTTTCATGTTGGCAGCAATGACGACTACATCCAAAATTCTCGACCCACCTCCCAAGGTGGGTTGAAAAGGAGATGGATGCAAACGTTGGCCAAAATTCATCAAGTTATACCGCGTTTAGTTCTTGAAAGCGTCAGAGTGTTTTTCTCCTTTGCTTTGCAACCCTGCCGCGCGATCTGGTTGAAAAAGTCGACCAAATCCACGCGCAAAAATTCGCCTTTTGAAGCACTGTGCTCCCGTTTCTTACAAGGGGGAGAGGTAGAGTACCTATATTGAGAGAGTATGGCCACTGGGGTTACCACCTCTGATTGGCTCAGCCATCTTAGGCTGAATGGAGCCCTTAGGACCCAAAAATGGCGGACACCATAAATTAATGTAATGCAAAATGACCCAAAATGTAGTTTTGCTTATCGTAACGAGAAATTTACCCAAATGCACTATTGCGACATCTTTACATATTTTTAAGGCTAATCGTGTGCAATTTTTGAGAAAAATTATCGTAGACGTAGTAAGGTTGACAGCAAGTACGGTTGGTGATAACCGTCAAAAGTTGGCAATGACCCCCCTCCCATCCACAAAAACCAAAACAAAGCACCGTCAGTTTTGGGTCCTAAGCCTCTCCATGGGGCCCAGTGGCCATACCCTCTCAATATAGGCACTCTAGGGAGAGGGACAAATAAGTCTGCCAAAATGGCTTTTGTAATATTCTGCCGTGCTAAGGAAAAACGCCGTATGAACCTTCATGCGTTGCCACATTTCCTTTAGTAAATCACGGATTTTCGGGATTTGTAAATATTTTTCCTCCAATTTTTTTAGATAATTTTGTTGGCAATTTCACCAAAAATTCCTGAAAATTTCAAGGAAAAATATTCATAACCTTCTTCAAAAAAACTGTTTTCTGAGATGAAATTTGCCAACTCTTGAATGTTCATACGGCGTTTTTCCTTAGCACGGCAGTATTTAAACGACCTCTGAAGAGTTTTCTGTTGTCAACTTTCCTTTATAGCCGATGCCACTGAAGCTCGCAACTGTCTCTCTCATTTAGCGAAAATCTAATTGACTTTGGATGTCAATAGACTGATTTAGTGGCTAGGTCATAGTTCAATTGTAAACAAATACATAACTTTGTCTATGATTCGCGTCATTCTCGCCATGGTGGTCAAATGCGCCCAAGTGTTTCACACAATCGAATTTCCTCGATTTTATTGCGTCACTAATTGATTTATGACCTGCCAATGCCTCAATTGTACGAATCAACACAATCAAGCTACAAAGAATCTCTATGCGAGGATATGTTAGGTCATAGTATTTATTTTGGTTTGAACAAAGAGTCCGATATTGTATCCAATGACGTAATCACTAAATCAGTCTATTCTGGTCATTCGAATAAGACTAGGTATATTTTTAAGAAAATTTTCCATATCATTTTCATACAGGGGAGGCACTTGGTTTATTTTATGGTGTCAAATACCATGCTCCAAATAAATTAAACCTCATACCGCTTATGATGTTTTTAAATTCTGATCTACAAACTATGCAATGAAAATCTCTTTAGATCTGGATGTCAAGCATATTCCGGCAATGAATTAAAAATTATATGAGTGCAATGAATTAAAAATTATGTGAGTGAATGATTGTACATTATTCGTGCACTGGATTATGCCACTGTGGAAACAATGATCCCCTAAGGGACGCCGAATATTCACGAGCCAACGACCGATCGGTCGCATGCGAACTACGTAGTTAATTAAATTTCGAGATAGTAAATACCCTTTCCATTTTTAATTAGCCCTGATTCAAAAGGTGGAGGACTTATAATCTTTCCTTAGATTAAATTTATATCTTTTATTCCAGCTGCTATTTAATTATATTTTTAAATAATTTAATTTTAATTAATTTTTAACTTGCGTAGTTAATTAGTAAATATTTATGTTAAGCATTTTCAGTATTAAAGACAAAGACGATTAGTTTAATCATGTTTATCGGTGTAATAGATACTTTTTCACTTGGTTATTCGTCCTTCAAGTATAATTAAAGATTAGATTTTTACTTGTTTTTATATTCTGTCTGCTCTGCGGGCAGTAGAGAAACCGAGTAGGTTACAACCTTGGATAATGGAAGATAAAAAATGAATTAAGTTTTGATCAAAATGCGCACCATTTTTGTGCGCGCCCTCGGAAGTTGTGTACGCACGCTGCCTCACGCATTTCCATGTGGCGTGCGCATTTCGGAACTTTGCGCGATCCGCGAGTCGAGAGTCAAGAGGGAGCCTCGGGATCGGGTAGAGATTGCGCAATGCTTGAAGTATCCATAAAGTTTTGCAGGCGCCTCCTGTGATCTTTTTTCGCGCTAAGTTAAATCATCAAACTTTCGGACATTTTCTTCAGATAGATGAGGTCCCTTTTAACTGATCCGGTCACAATTAAGAAGCAACAAAACTTTCTCGCACATCCACAACAATGAAAGTGAGTTCGGTCTCTTCCGGTGACTCAGAGATTTTAACGCAGGAGTAGAAAAGTTGAAAGTGGCGAAACGTGTGATACATCGAAGTGGGTAAAATTGCGTATCCACAAAATGAAGGAGAATCTATTTTCGCTTGACTTGAAGACTTTACCGCAGGAGTAGAAAAGCTGGATGTGGCAAAGCGCGCGATACAACTATTTCAACTCTCAAGTGGATAAAATTGTGTAAACCCACAAGATAAAGGAGAATCTCTTTCCGGCTGTCTGAGAAACTTTAACGCAGGAGTAGAAAAGTTGGATGGATCAAGAGCCGAGAGCGAGACTATAAATCGGGTTCCACTGCACGCCTTGTGCCGCCGGCTCGAAGGGGGGGGGGGCTATGTATGGCTTATGCATGGCTAAAAAAATATTTAATTTTTTTAAACTTTAAATATTTTTTTAGCCATAGGAATCGCATGCATTTTCGCAACGCGTCAAGAGGTACATAACGAGAGAGCGGTGCTAACGTGTGCTTTATAAATAAAGCAGCACAGGTTCCAATAAATCGCAATTACACGCTGAAGTTTCTGCTATTATATCTGAGTGTTGTGCACTGAGAAAAAACTATGGCTTATAAACCTATTAGAGGTAAATATGGAACACCACTAATAGTAGTACCTCTACATATAATAATAGCACATATACCTTAGTTATGGTCTCTGTACCTTAATTAGGTACAGAGACCTTAGTATGGTTCACAGACCGAGAATCATTAGTTTATTTACGACTATTATAGGTGTTCCATATTTACCACTAATAGGTTTATAAACCATAGCTTTTTCTCAGTGTGTATGTTGCCTGCTCACTATTTGAAGGGACTTCCTCCATTGACATTTATTGGAATGAAATCACGATTAGTTGCACTTTTTTTGTAATGCAAATTGTCTAACTGCCTTGTACGTAAATACTTGATCGTCGACAGAGCGAATTTATTAGCCAAAGGATGTAAAAATAGTACAACACTAATGGTGAAAATTGCAGTTTGTTCCATTGACTTGCAATATTTTTTCGAATTTCCGTCGCTTCGTGGTCCTTGGGAACGGCAATATTGTACCAACGATTATTTTTTTGTTGGATTCATTTATTGAAGCATCTGTTTCTTTCTTTTGCAGTCAATATTTTGTGGTCTCTCCAACATTCGTCAAGGCGGTGCACGAAGACGGAACATTTTCACTCTATTGCATCAGAGCTGTTCATAACTTTACGGATCATCACTTCATCACGGTAAAATCTCTCCAACTCCTTTCTGCTCTTAGAATCAATTGCGAACGAATCGACTATTTATCCATTCTCTCAATTTCCTTTCTACAGCGCTGAATGCCAATCATGCATTTGGCTACATTCACTAGCTGCGTGATAACCATTGTTGGAAGTTTATTGCTGACTACTGGATTTCCTAGGGGATCAAATTGACTATATGCATATATGTAATAAGAAATTACTATTTCTGGCTCATTTATGAAAGCACCTATCTGTATAGAGAAAATCAAAGTGGGAAAGGAGGAAGAACAAAGAGAGTAAAGAGAATAGGAAAGAATGGAAAGTGGAGGAGGAAAAAGAGACAGAAGGAAGAGAGAAGAACGGGAAGAAGAGAGAGGAAAACAAGAAGAAGTGAGAAAAGAAAAGAGAGGAGAGAGAGGAACAGGAAGAAGATTAAGGAGAAAGGAGAACAGGACGAAGAGAGAGAAGACGAAGAAGAAAGAGGGGCAGGGGGCTAGAGGTATGGAGAAAAGAATAGGAGGGAAGAAGAGAGCGAATAATGAAAGAGGAGGAATAAGAAGCGAGTAAAGAAGGAAGTGAATGAGAATAAATGAGAGAGAAAAGAGAGATGGAAGAAGAAAAAGGTAGAAGAGAGTTAAATAAGGAAGAGAAGAAAAAGAGAAAGAGGAAGACAAAGGTAAAAGAGGGTAAAAGAGAGTAAAATAAGGAAAAGAAGAAAAAGGTAAAAGATTAAAATAAGGAAAAGAATAAAAAGAGAAAGAAGAAGAAAAGGGTAAAAGAGTAAAATGAGGAAAAGTATAAAAAGAGAGAGAAGGTGAACATGAGTAAGAAAAAGAAAAGAGGAGGAAGAAGTAAAGATGCAAGGGAAGGAAACAGAAGGAGAGAGAAGCGATGAAGAACAAGAAAAGCAAGGGGAGGGAGGGTGGGATAAGAAGGAAGATAAAGAAGAGAAGCAGCACACATTCTGCATAAGAACATTGATGGCACACTTGCGCTGTTTTAAAAATGAGCCTAAAATATTAATTCCTCATTGCAAAATATAGTCTTACATAATTAGGAATAAAGTAATGTTATCAAAAAGATTTCAGTGTTTTAACTACAGAGCAGCAGGAATATATCTATTGTCTAACGTACGACGGTGAAACTACCAGACTGCGTACCTCGTTTCGATTGTATGAAGTCATCTGAATGGGTTGGAGTTATAGGTGAAAAAGGGGTGATCAGAGTTTTCGTGAATGTTGTACCTACGTTTGGAAAATCAAGAATATTTAAAAAGTAATTGGTCATATTATTATCTTCAGTCTACGATCATCTTCATTTCGTTCCCCTACCTTTTAATTATAGGTTAATTTAATAGTTGCATCCTTGTTAAATATTTTCCATTCCAATTAATTATTTCATCAATACAATGTTTGTTCTGGGGCTGCAATGCTCCTTTCTCAAACATAAATTTAGAAATTTTGCAGCGCTGGGCGTCCCAAGATTATTGATTCTGTATCTTCCTACATAAAAAAACTTTATCAATTGAGTGAGCTTTATTCTGCTAGAGAAGAGGAGGAAGAAGAAGAGATAGAGGAAAAGAGAGAAGAGGGGAAGGAAAAGAGACGATAAAATAGATAAGAAAAGAGAAAGAAGGAGCAGGAAGAAAATAGCAAAGGAGGAGAGAAAGAAGAGCAGGGAGAAAAGAGAGAAAAAGAGAAGAGATAGAAGAACAGGATGGAAAGAAAGAAGAAAAGAAGAGAAAGCAGAACAAAAAAATAACCAAAAATTAACTTTTGTACTTTACTATCAGTCCCACCCCCTCCCAAATAGAGAGATCTTTTTGCACTAAAGAACTTTATCATTTGAGTGAGCTTTATTCTGCTAGAGAAGAGGAGGAAGAAGAAGAGATAGAGGAAAAGAGAGAAGAAAAGGAGACGAGGGGAAGGAAAAGAGACAAAAAAGAGAAAAGAAAAGAGAGGAGAAAAGAGAAAGAAGAGTCGGAGGAAAGGAGAGGAAAAGAGGAGAGAAAGAAGAGCAGGGAGATAAGAGAGGAAAAGAGAAGAGATAGAAGAACAGGATGGAGAGAAAGAAGAAAAGAAGAGAAAGCAGAACAAAAAATTAACCAAAAATTAACTTTTGTACTTTACTATCAGTCCCACCCCCTCCCAAATAGAGAGATCTTTTTGCACTAAAGAACTTTATCAATTGAGTGAGCTTTATTCTGCTAGAGAAGAGGAGGAAGAAGAAGAGAAAGAGGAAAAGAGAGAGGAAAAGGAGAAGAGGGGAAGGAAAAAAGACAAAGAAGAGAAAAAAAAAGAGAGAAGAAAAGAGAAAGAAGAGCAGGAAGAAAAGAGAGAAAGAAGAGCAGTGAGAAAATAGAGAAGAGGAGAAGAGATAGAAGAACGGGATGGAAAGAAAGAAGAAAAGAAGAGAAAGCAAAACAGTAAAAGAACCAAAATTTAATTAACTTTTGTACTTTACTATCAGTCCCTCCCCCTCCCAAATAGAGAGTGGTCATAGGGATTTTAAATATTCTAGCGCCCAGTATTATTAGAACGGGGGGCGTACGCTACCGCAGCTTTTGGTTTGGGGTCGCAGTAGTGCTTGCACTTCCGTTGGTCGGTCGGCAGCCATGGCATCCGTTGAAGGCCGAAACCAATGACCCAGGACCCGGGTGCACGGGAAGGCCTGAGGGCGGTAGAGAAAACCCCTTCGGCAGATAAAAAATGTCTGAGTTGGCAGGGGTCTATAATGGCGAGACGAATAATTAAAACCTCTTCATCCTCTCTGTTTTTTCTTTTAGTTTTTGTAAAAGAGTGGATTGGCATAGGTCTAATGGGTAACGGACTATTTTCTTCTTAACTTTTCTTGATATTTCAAACGCGCCCAACACTCACGAAAATTCTATTCCCTCCTCTTTCACGAATAACCTCAATCCATTCAGGTGACTTCATATAATTATCTTCATTTCGTGTCTCTTCCTTTTAATTAGTGATGATTGTTGCATAATTTGTAGTTATTTTTTGTAGCAATAATTAAGGCTTCTTACCCCTATCTTTTTCATCCATGCGATTTTTGTTTTGGGGTTAAAATGCTCCTTTCTCTAGCATAAATTCATAAGTAAATAGAATAAAGAATGAATAAGGATGTAAGTGACTTTCGAGGGGGGGAGGGGGGAGGGGGGGGCTTCTTTCATTTTCTGCTCTAAAATGAGATTCAAAAGTGCAGTAGAAACTTTTAAAGTAGAGTTTGTTGCCATTGAACAATATTCTCGCCGTAATACTGTTGAGACCCAAGAAGGTGCGTCCATTTGCTTGCAACCGTAGCGTCGCCTGAGCAGCCTCGTGAAATTGTTATGAGTGTCGGCAGAGCTCCCAATATTCGTGGTCTGCGACGACCCCTCTTTTGCCTTTTATGGATATGCATAGGATTGCGCGAAAATCTCTGGTACAGGAAACTCACATGTTTGCGCGAATATTCATTACTCATGGAGGAAGCGTTAATCTGGCAACCTTGGTAGTTTGTGGTAGGTAGCTACATCGTGGAAGACTGTTCATTCCCTATTCATTTACGGGCATGTTTCTCTTCGATGGATAGCCCTCGCAGCACGAATGGCCCAGAGAGCCTTCGTTGAAATTTAACTAGGGGCCTTTGGCCACCGACCACTGAAAAAAAAAACTACACGTAAAAAATCATGGAACAACCATGTTCAAGTTTTTAAGAGATGAATGGATTCAAAACCCGACGGGTGCACCCGAAAGAAAGCGTATATTTATCTTTAGTTAGCTGTAGGTACATTTAGAGTTGCAATGCACGTCCAGTGCTCTTTCTTCACCTATTTCCTAGTCTGACTGCTCTTCGGAGCGGATTGATTTTTAATCGGTGATTGTGCTCTATTTGAACTGGTATCTGAACTTTACAGAGATATCTATACTTCCCTTTTACTCCCATGTACATAATACTTTTTTACTCTACAATATATATTTTATTAAATAACCAAATGCCAACATTTTTTCTTTGCCAATTTAAATGGATGAGGTTATAGGAAGGGACTTTCCAAATTTAATATGCATGCACATTTAATATTAAATGAAAAATTATTTAATGTAGCTCACATAAATATTAAATCATCTGCATCTTGTAGGTATAATTTCGAAGTAAAGTGGAAGTGATTACTTTGATGTAAGTGCCGTCACTGAAGCACAAATAAAGATAAGAAAAAGAGATGGAAAGGGGATAAAATGAAGAGGAGATGAAATGAAGAGGAGATGAAAAGAAGAGGAGATGAAAAGGAGAGGAGATGAAAAGGAGAGGAGATGAAAAGGAGAGGAGATGAAAAGGAGAGGAGATGAAAAGGAGAGGAGATGAAAAGGAGAGGAGATGAAAAGGAGAGGAGATGAAAAAGGAGAGGAGATGAAAAAGGAGAGGAGATGAAAAAGGAGAGGAGATGAAAAAGGAGAGGAGATGAAAAAGATATGTAAAGGAGATGAAAAGGAGATGAAAAGGGGATGAAAAGGTGATAATGAGATGAAATGAAAATGAGATGAAAAGGGGATGAAAAGGTAATGAAAAGGTAATGATAATGAGATGAAATGAAATGAAAACGAGATGAAATGAAAACGAGATGAAAATGATTGGGGG